TACTGTCAAAAAAATTGGACTTAAAATTATAATTTTTATAAAAATGCGCTACAACTGTATTGTATAAAATGGCGATGCCTTTGTGGCGGTTGTGATATTAGCCAACTTGTTAAAAAGATAAATATAGTAATAATTCGATTTAATCTTTGGAAGATGTTTAAACATTGGAGCTAAAAATATACATGCTGCTCGATTTTCAAAACAGAAGAAATGAGATAATTAATTGTTTTTCTGCATTCTTCACCTTACTCATCACGAAAAATAATATTATTTCGATAATTGAACCTACTTCGCATCTTTATCTATCCAATCTAACTGATTTGGTAGAGGTATCTGGGTCCTGTCCGGACCAGATATTACCTGGCCCGTAAGTTAACTCTAACCGATTTACAAAGGCGCAATAGAATGTCGCAACTACGAATTCCGACCTAGAACCCTGTGCCTTGAAGAAAGATAGCAGATAGAGCGCTTTTCCCATATCAAAAAGATACTCTGTCGCAGTAAATTTAAACCAGCAGCTACAACTGCAGGCGGATGGGCACGCGAATTTTTCCAAGGAGAAACAAGAACAAGTAGGGGTTTTAGAAAAAAAAAGGTTTCAACAAACAAAATAATAAATCTTATAACCTGGGATATCACACGTCGTCGTATAAACAATTTTCCAACCTTCCAGCATATCGTTTGACGAAACTATACTAGACGTAACACACTTTGAGTAAAAACCAGTTAAAAATGCAACTATTTACAGTTTGCCTTAAATACTATTTAAAAACTATCACGGTTTAAGTCTTGTTGTTTTAAAAACATTATTTTTGGTGGGCGGCGCCGTCTGCAAAATAAATAATGGAAATCGATACAGGAGCGTATTTACAATAACTTTTTGAACGTCGTATGGCCGCCCACCGAATTTCGATAAACCATAACCCATTGTGATTTGTTATTCCACTATAAAGTAATCGTATACAAACAATCTAATATAAACAAATTACATTTACAAGAATTTTGGTTCTTTAATACAATATTTATATTCAACTTGTTTTTGACGGGACCTAAAATGGTGAAAACAATCAGTTTATTTACAATTTTGACCGTTTCCTAACTTTTATTCGAGAACGATGTTTTCGTTTGAACTAGATCTCCGATTGGGCGAAATCAAACAAATCAACAATAACATTAAAACCTCCGGCAACAAAAAACCTTACACATATTTGTTTCATAGTTATATCTATTGTTGTGTACATGGTAAAAAGTGAGTTCCAACACCGCTTTCCAGGCGAATTGCAAAAAATTCCTGAAATTACCATTTCAGGTTACGGCTCTGTAACTAAAAAAATATTGCTAATTGTATTGTCTCGCTAACGCTCGTAAAACAAAAACGGACCACATAGGAGATGCCGCTCCGTGGTAAGTATGTACGGGGTATTCTCAAAATTGTTCGAATAATCGAAGTTCCTACGTTATATTACGCTACATCACGTAGCAACGATCATTTTGGTTGGTTTGGGACCGAAATATACCATTTATTTACTATATAAGTGAGTTGTTCAGTTTTTGTGCGTTTTTACTAGCTTGCAAGTATTAGAAATGGAAGTGAAACGTCGACCCTCCTACTATGGCACCCTCAATCAATAAGTTTAGAGAATTAATGTTCCGAAAACTTATTGGTATTGTTGACATTTGTAAATTATATTTTGATTTTCATTAAGATCCTCTAACTCTTTATTTCATTTATAGTGTTAATATTTATAAAGCGACAATAGGTGAATAACTTTGCCTCGGTTAATAACAGACAAGAAGCAAGAAAATGTCAATAATAATCACTGAAAGCGAAAACTATGACTGATGGACAGCCAAGTACACTGTTTATTTCAGCGTCACATGAAACAGTACTGTCTAATGCTGGTTCGGACTAAGCCGTCCTTTACATGGAAACATCTTCAGAAATAGAGCAGCAATCAAACTTGTCAGGCAAATCAAAGTATTATCGCAATACAGCAGTTTAGACAGAACCAAAAAGAGGCACACAAAGTGTTTCGACATTACCAATACAATACAATATATGCAATACCAAAGAAGGGTTAAAACACGTGCTGCTTCGTTAGATAGTAGTATAAAGGAAATCTAGGTTTTGTGGCTTTACCAATGAAGAAATTAAATTAAAGATATACATTATATTTATACACATTAATATTTTATAACAATTTAAATAGGCGAGTGTTTCGGAAAAATAGCAGGGCCAAAGAGATATAGCTTTAGACAAAACGTGATCTTCTAAAGTTCCAATTTATTACGTACATAAAATAATAGACACTGCAATTACGAAATTCGGAAAAAAGAAAATGTCATTCATTATTCTCAAAATAGTAATTAATATCTAGTAAACAGAAACCAAATTACAACTGATATGCCTATTTCTTTCCCATCTTTTCACTAAAACTGACGCATTCAAGTTGTTTTATTATTTGGAGCATACCGCTAATACTATTTTTGATCGTCTTAATTTGTTATGAACGCCTCTACCGACAAATGATTAAATAGCCTTCAATTCGCTTAAAAACTGAGAACCGTATTAACTGGATCGGCTTGCTTGGATCCCAAACTTTCCCAGTTATAATTTAAAAAAGCTGCGAAACTACGTAATGCATATTTAAAGTGCCCCGCGTAAGCGTCATAATCAAAATCAGCTTCAGTTTTGATATTTTCGCATTTCGCCTCGAAATATATTAAAACGTTTAGGTGTATAGACCCTGTATAAAAAAGTTAAAACTTCAATAACTTATTCGAGTTGTATATATAGAATATATATGTATAAAAACGGTATAAAGAACTGAGTTGATTCGGTACCATCACCATTAGTTGAGCGTCGGTTGCGGAAAGTCGCGGATTTTTTTTATACCGCCCCCGAAAACGAAATTTTTGAATTCGGAATTCGAAAACGTCGGCGTGACTCGAAAAATCCGCGCCGTCCGAACCGCCGTCGTATTAAATCGGATATTTACGTATATTTCTTTTTAAATATGAAGACACTGTGTAGAATTAAATTGTGTATTCTCTGTTAACTTAGTATAAAAATAGTTTCATTTCTATTGCATTGGGACCAACCTTTAAAAATTCATTTTGTATATTAAACTATTTTAAATGTAGCCTTTGTTTATAGCGGGCGTGCTTAAAATTGGGTGTTTTTTTACGCACGTCGGCGGACATACTCAATTTTGATAATGACATTCGCACAAAATGGGCCGGCAATCGTTGTAACTTGGCGAGGCTACATTCGTTAGGCACCGCGATTTTCAAAAATTGATCCTTTCACATCATTTGTATTCATTTATAAATATTATGTAACTGTTGAAGTACACTGCCGGACAATAGAATGGAACAATTCAAATTTGAAAACAAACAAGCAAGCAGGCTTCTATCTCAACGACTTAACGATGTTTGCAGAACGTTTCTTGGAATTTTTCCGCAGAGTGCCCACATAACTAGAAGATGCAGATGCAAAAAAATGTATAAAAGCCAAAATCATTTTTTTTTAGTTTCAAAATAGCAATTTCTTGAAAACTAACCTCTCCCTTTCTTAGAAGCAGCCAAGTGTTGTTTCTACTTAATGTCGAAGAAAGTTATTGTTTCTACCTAATATAGAAGATAGTTGTCCAGAGTAAATTTCATAAAGAATGCTCTTTTTTAACTCACTTTTATTACAACATTACTCTCAAACTATTTACTATTTAATTGAATCAAATTTCCCCCAAATACACAGGCTGGATAGTGAAGCACTTATAAATATTTAAGGGTCCTATCTCATATTAAGAAACATAGACAATAATTACCAGCTTCTAAAAGGAGAGATCGGCTCTTGAAACATTATTGTAACTTTCATATTAAAAAATCAGATTTTGTTATTTGTAAAAATCTTCTAAGTTGAACCATGAGTTGAATTATTTCCAGTCCATCGGTCGGGAGCTCAGTACGGCTACTTATTACCTCATTCTATATTGGCATTATCATAAAGTTAGAACCCGTCAAACAGTCCTACCTCTTTTTGCGTCGTTATTTTCTTTACAATTACGAGATCACATAGTAGTAAAATCTAACTACAACAATAATAATATGCTTAATTTAAAACATGTTTTTCATATTTTTTTTGCTTAGAAGTATTGCCACTAAGTAAACCCGAAATATTTGTTATGAAAAATTTTAAAATACTTTAATTTACATCAATTTTTTTTGCTTCGTTTGGTCGGGACGCGGTGCGTTTAACGTATTTGTCGTAAAGTAGTAATAGTAAGTGGAAATAAAGTGAAAAAAGTTCCCAATCGATAAGACATGCGTGCTAAAAATGTCATTCTAGGTCAAAAATCGGGTAAACGACGTTTAATACGCAAATTGCAGATCATAGTATTGCCTACAAAAATTGCCGCTATCCGTTTTTAGCTGGGACTCTCCGTGTCTTAGTTTTCGCGATCTTAAAATGTACATTTTGCACCCACAAAAACTCGTTAGGTAGAGTACTTTTTACCGTGGTTTCCCCGGAGGCCTACCTTACGACCTGCTATGCTGTATGCTAATTATAAACCATAGTTCTGATTTCATACTCTTCGAAGTCGACATGAACAGTCCATTCCTGGCGTTTCAAACTTCCATTGTCTAAAAACGTTTTTAACGCGTTTCTTGTTCTTTCTCTTCTCCTTAATGGATAGATAAATTGTTTAAATGAAGTTCAGGCAACTATCTTTACATCATTTACATCTTACTACATTTACATTCATTTTTAATTACATCGAGTGCCCGAAAATGTATGGGTCATTGTGAAAAACCGAAATTAAGCTTCGGTCGATATCGGAAACGACAGGACCTAACGGGCTGTTCTGTGGTGTGGTATGTGCGGTAAATAGCTCAACAATTAATTTCCAATTTGCAAAGGAAATGTAATTTCCATGGATGAGATTTCAGCTGAAGCACTAAAGCAAAAAAAGTGTTTGATGTTCAAAGTGTCAAAGTTGTTGCAATAAACAAGGTTTGTTTTTAAAATTTTGGTTAAAGAAATCAAATACATTTTAGTGTTAGATTAATATTAGATATGATTGTTGTGTTTTTTGTAAGTGTAGCAACTTCTTTATGTTCATTTGAAAACCTCGTCCATGCTTTAATAAAAAAAATAATCTATGAAGTTTTAATTTATTTTCTTTTTATAATTTTTTTTTTGAACACACACCATTCGCCGGTGATGAATATATCGGATATACGCCAAATGACTTGGCGATTGTTGACATTCACTGGTATATCTTGACAATCATGGGGGATAAGTTTGGATATACTAATATAATAAAATGCAATTCTTTTAATTTTTGGAATCACGATATCTGAAGAATGGAGATTAGTAACAATAAAGTGTAAGGACCATTTTTTTAGACATGGATGGTCTACAATTTGTCTGAAATATATTTTTTGGTATAACTTACGTACATAAAATAAAAAAACGAGAATTTTGACTTCTGACACGGAATAACGTGGGATCGATGAAGATGGAGAACAAATGATAGGTATGGTATGGTTTTTAATTGTTTAAATAACATATTACACGCGTTCAAACCAGCTCGCCCCTGAAATGCTCGGCAAATACGGGCGGACCGTGACCCGACCGAAGAAACCCTTATCAACCATTAAAATCCATATTAACTGTTACCAAATGTTTTGCAGCACCATGTGAAGATCACTCAGCGGAAATATCTAAGAATATTTCGATGAAATCAGCGAATAAATACAAAAATCAACTAATAATCAAGTCCTTTATGGTTTCGAGACTCGCCGCTGGCAAACGGTCACCCGATACAAGGTCCCAGTTGCCAGCTGGCCGTTAGTCACTGAGCCGGGAGGCCGTTCGTAGGTTTGAATTCCGGATTGACCGCCTGGAATTGAGCGACGCTCGTGGGAGGATTAAAACTCGGCGCGTAACACTGCGGGAAGTACAGCTCGGGTTTCACGACGCCCGTGGGCGTCAAGCCTCTGGGTAACATGCCGTTGGTGTGCAGTTTACTGTCGGAACTGTTAGAGTCTCTTCTGGTTTTCGCCGCGTGCGGGTTCATGTGATTATCAATATGCTTCTTGACCTCGGGTTCGGTCGCGAACCTTCTCCGACAATTGGGCATCGGACAGCAGAACGGTCTGTCGCCCTGGTGGGTCCTTGTGTGTTGGTCCAGGATCGCTTTTTGCCTGAAATCTTTGCCGCACTGCGTGCACTTGTACGGCTTCTCGCCGGTGTGTATCCGCAAGTGTTGATTCAAAATGGTGCGCTGTCTAAAGTTCCGTCCGCAGTACACGCAACCGTACGGCTTTTCGTTTGTGTGTATCCTGAGGTGTTGCGTCAGATGGCTCTGCTGTCGGAACCTCTTGCCGCATTCCGGACAAGGGTACGGCCTGCTCTCTATGTGGATACACCCGTGCTGCAGTAGAGTCGACTTCTGTTTGAACTCCTTTTGACATATGGGACACCTCACGTATAGAGGCATTCCCGCCGACCTTCCGTGCTGAATGACGTCCGGCAATCCTTTGCCCTGGCCCTGCTTGAGGTACTGCAGCGGGTTGAAGTTCCCGCCCGGGCCGAACACGGAATGATTCATACCTTTCGCGTCCTTGAAATAGGCGGGATATTGCAGGTTGCCCACCATTCCGTTGGGTGAGAAGCAACTGGTCCTGTCGTTGGGACCGTTTTCGCCATCTCCGTAAGTCGACGTGACCTCCTCTTTTCCTTCATCCGGAGGAAAAGGGACGTCTTGGGGCCACAGAGTCGGGTTGATGCCGTTCTTGAAAACGAGATGCGGGCTCACGTCTGCAATGAGAGAATTTGCGTTCAAGATTTTGATGCCAGAGCTGAGACAAAGATGCCTCCCAAGCGATCATCTGGCGTTTAACGGGTCCAAATTAGATCTATCTACTAATAAATACATAGAGGCTGTAGATATATGTTACTCGCAAATATCGAAAACCCTCGTTGATCGAAGGATAAATGACCTCAGGGTAATAACCCAACGGTAAGAGATGAGAAAATAAGTTTCGCGGGTATCGATTCTTGCTCGACATAGTTTCGCTTGTTAGTGACTAAATTGGTAAGCAAAGTTCTCTGACTATAATTTTAATTTATTGCGAATTTATATCGAAAATTCTGCAAATACAACTTTTTTTAATTTAATAATAAGCAGCAACTATATATAATAGTTTATGTACAGGGTAGCCCTTTTTGGACACTTTCACGGGGTATCTCAGTTATTTTTAAAGATAGGGAGTCACCGGTGTACGCGACACTGTGCTACTTTTTGTGAAATTAAAAATGCCGTCAACAAAATTATCACAATCCTCTTGGTTTTTGAGATACAGTCTTGTGTTACGAGTTATTTAAGTGTTTAAAAAACGTACATACAGGATTTTTCCGTATAATCCAGTGGCGTAGTTTGTTTTCTTGTTACTTGCAATTTTTAGTTATGAAGCAAACATATTTTTTAACTCGACACCCTGTATATTATTTTTTACATTAATTCGAAATCATTTAAGCTTTTCAAAAATATATATTAGTATAAACTTGTTTAAAAAATTAGGCTCAATATTCAATTTTTTTTATTTTTTACTTTGTTTGTAGCAGTAGCCCATCGTAAATCAACTAAATCAACTAAAAATAAGATACATCTAAGCAGTTTTTACTATATAAGAAACTCTTTGCTTAATTTCTAAAAAAACAGAATGAAAATATAGGTTTTTAAAAAAATAATGTCTACTTAATATGATAAATATTATGTTATGACAATATTAATTTTGACTCATCTATTAAAAACAAAAAAGCAAATGTGTCAATAACTTAGGAGACTGTCAGTTTTAATTTTTTTTTTCGCTATCCATTTGTTCTTTAGGTGTTTATTTCATTTTAATTAATTTTCTATAACAATGGCAGCATATGAAAACTCAGAAAAATATGAAATGTTAGCATGTTTTGTACAATGCAATGAAAATGCTCAAGAAGCTTCGGAATTATATTACTACGAGCAAGGGTTTTAAAGGGATATGGGGATAGCAATACAACTTAAAGAGTGCATGCATATTTCTGAAAAGTTTAAATGATATCCAATTAATGTAAAAAATAATATATATTTAAAGAGTATATGTGAACTTTTTAACCAATAAACGGTTAGAACAAGGAAAAAGCAAACTACACAACTGGATTTTAAGGAAAAAATCTTATAAAAAGGTTATTTCAATTCTTCAATAACTTAAAAGACAACGGAGATACGAGGGTGGTCCCAAAATCGATAGCTTTGAATTTCATCCTGTATCTCAAAAACCAAGAGGACCATGCAAATTCTGTTGACGGTGTCTTCAATTTAACAAAAGAGTAGCACAATGTCGCGTTAGCCGCACCTTTTTAAAAAATAATCGAGATACCCCATAAAAGTGCCCAAAATGGGATACCCGGTACTATTTGTTGAAGCTAAAGTGACGCATCTAGGGTATACTCTATCGTTATTGGCGAATTTAGAATTCAATGAGTCCTCTGGCGGAAAAAATGAGAACCTAATTGAGAAGTTGTTTTCACATGCTTGGGTTGCACGATATTGCTAAAACAAATAGTTTGCTGTCGTTCGCCATCATCATTCATCCAAATCTTCAACATTAAGGGAAAAGTTTACCAAATTGTTGATGACTATAACTCAAGAAATATTTAATAAAAATTATCCTAATAATAGGAGAACTGTAGCAAAGCGACTTATGAAAGCTTAGCTTTCTACAATTTTTAATGTTACTAGTTTGAATAGATAATACAAAGTTATCCTTCGAGAGGTATCGGTCCTTGCAGCAGACCCAATTAAAATGAGATGTTTTTAAGAAATTTAATAATCCTTAAATAATCCAAACCTCCTAAATCTAATATTTCAAAGCCCGGTCCTGCTCTAAAATCCTGAAAATTTAATGTCGACATCGTAATCCTAAAAGATGGTAAAAGGAATGCTACGGGGATTGTGAACACAAGTGAATATCAGGAAAAAATTCAAGAGATTCTAACAGGCGTCAACTTAAAAAAAAACCTAGGTCATCAATGAAACGCAACCTTAAATCTGTTATTAAGGTTTCTTGTTTATTAGAATCCATGAAAAAGTCCTTCGCCTCCTCCTTATGACACTAAATTTCCTCCTCTTGACGGGACTCCCTAAGATTCACAAACCAAGTTATCCTCTAGCAATATATCTAGCTTCTAAATTAAAACCCTTTACTGGGAAAACTGGTAGTTTCATACTTAATTCCTTTCATTTTATTGAACAATTAAAAATAATAAACAGGATATTCTGGTTAGTTCAACGCAGAATCTCTCTTTATTAAAGTCCCTATTCCTGAAACTCTCAATATTATGTCCGATATATTAAAATCCGAAAATCTGGAACCAAACCGTCTCATCTTGCTTGTCCGTTCTCCATTATCCCTAAGATATATTTATGGAAGCTTTTGAGAGGAAAGCCAACGACACCTTCCATCTAAAAACAAAATTATGGAAACGCTACGATGATCACTTTTGTAATCTGGCCTCGTGATCATAAATCCCTCCGAGATTTTCTTAGCCATTTAAACTTTATAAATTCTAATATACGTTTTACAATTGAATTGGAAAATAATAACTATATTCCATTCTTAGATATTCTTATCAATACAAAATCAGACCTAAGGTTGGGTCATTCTCTTTATAGAAAACCTACGCACACAAACCGATACCTTAATGCGTTGATCACCAGCTGGCCCAAAAATCATCGGTTAAAAACTCTGTTGTTTACAGAGCCGTAAAACTATCTCAGTCCGAGTTACTGAACCCAACATATTAACCCAAGATATTAATCTTTCCATCATAAATTAAAGTTCACCCTAACCTTCCAAAAACTCCACACTTGCCACTCTTGCCCTTTCATTATATTCAAAACATCATTGACCACATATCAACAGTTTTTAAGAAATATAACGTCAAATCGGATTTGCCACATGTCCAAGAGTCTCTCAACATCTTCGATCCGTCAATGACAAAATTCCGATTGAGATACCAGGAGTCTAAAATCAAATTTTATTCGATAAAAGTAAAATTCTTGTATGTAGTCAATTCTTCTACCAACGAAAAATCCGAGAATCTGTAGAAATCTATAAGCAACCAAAGAATCTTAATCGCGACTCAGGTCTTTACCGAGACAAAATTCATATCGCTCCCTTAGCTAAGCCCACCTCAAACAATATATAAGCGGGTATAGAGTAGAACAGAACAGTTTCAATTAAGCTCCGAGAAGCCAATAGCGAAACGTCAGCGAGTTCGCTTCATCAACAATCGATGCAGGGGGAATCCAGAAGATTTGTAAATATTAAATTTATTAACGCCTTCTACAAAAAAAAACGGATTTTCAGATTATAATTTAAATAGGATAAAATGGATTTCATTGTAAGAGACTCTGCTTGAGACATTTTCAACAAAAATAATGCTTTATTGTCGGTTACGTAGGTAGAACGAACCGGCCAAATGTTCAAAGCGAACAGGAAAACATATGAAAAAATGAAACATATGACACTTAATTTATGTCATAAAACTATCTATGTTATGTTTATGTTTTAAATTTCGTAGTGTTCTCTGTTAAGCGGACACCTCACTGTACTTCCTTACGGATCCATTTGTTTACTGTCAGCAGCTCCACCATCAGAGAACAAATTGGCGAATAGCTATTGGGATTAATTATGAATATGAAACAAGGCGCAACTTTTAGTTTTATTAATTTACTTATTTATGAACAGAATTCCAAATTTGATGACGTGTTAGAGATATGTAAGTTCGAAATCAATTCCTAACAAAATCGTTGATAAACATGGGTAATAATAAATAGTTATTAGTAATAGTATAAGTCAAAATTGGACTTGATGAATTGGTTTTTTTCGAGAAATTAACTTTAAGACGCTGTACCTAATTAAGAGCAACATTTTATTAAGCAATATCTTATTAAATATAATAGTTTTCAATGGTAATCAAGTTCTTGCATTCGTGTGTTGCAAAAAATCATAGAATTTCAGGTAACCTCCACTTTTTCCAATCCAAACCCATACCTAATCAACTTTTTTAAAGTCGATAGATTCTATTCACTTTGAACTGTATAATTTTCTGTGCCCTGAGTTAATTGAATTTAAGCCAAATTGGACAACTTGGTATTATTGCAAATTACATGCGTTACCTAAAATATTCTCGGATCTAGTTTTCGTTTTTTTTTTTTTGGTATAGAGTGTTTGAGTTCTTTGTCGTCTAACGTTAACAGTTGGTAGAACATTTGAAAATGATGCAAAATAAACATAGGTTCTAAAACGCTTTTTTTAGCTTTTCTGCTATATATTTCGTTTTTCATCAGAGAATTTAAATCCGTTATTAGTTTTCATATTGCAGATAGAGGGCGTTATGGGGTTTTTAGCGCACACAGATAATGAACAAAACTTTCTTAAGTCAAGGAGCGGCTGCCAAAAGTTCAGATACCATAAGATTCGAAGTGTTTCAAAATAATAAAAATACTTTTGCACAACTTCTTTAAATTTGTTTGAATTAATTTTATTTCAATCAATAGTTTTTATTTATATTAGTTTATGTTTTGTACTAATTAAATTTTTGATTTATAATAAAAAAAACTTTCTCTTTTCTTGCTAATAAATAGTAAAGCTCTGCTTTATGGCGTAGTTTAATGAATAAATAAGTATAGGATGTCATGCGTATCATTGCATTATTAGGTGTTACGTAGGATTTTTAGGATTTTTTGTCATTAGTAGTTATTCTAACGCGGATCTGCGGCAAAAATTTCCCGCATTTAGGAAAAACATCGGTTTGGCAATAGAAGCATTAATGAAATTTTACAAAATTTAACAAATAGCCGTTTTTTGTCTGTTTAAACCTGATCGAGAACGTCATATCAGCGCGGTTAATGTTTTTATTCTCGTTTAGTCGCAGATACTCGCAAATGCGACGTTGCCAAACTATATTTTTTATCTAAATGTGGATAAATTTGTGTCGAGATATGCGTTGGAGTAACTACTGGCGCATTTCGACATGAGGTCGGTTAGTTAAATACTTATCACGGACGTTTTCGATATCTGCGCGCAACACACCCAAACAAATAAAATATAAAGGATAGAAGTGTTAGAACGTGAGGAAACAGCAGTGACCACTCCAACCGCCCACGTCCACATCAGGTTTAACTTCAAAAAGGGCCGGTCTATTTTCATTTCGATTGGTTACAGTGCTCTTGATGGTACGAGACTTTTTGGAGGAGTGGCTCGAAATGGGCTGCGCGAGAGTGGCCGCCGCTCATATAAAAAACGGGGCGCTCGCCTTGGTGTGTGCGGACGTGCTGGTTGAGAATAGCCTTCTGCCGAAAGTGTTTCCCGCACTCCGGGCACTCATACGGCTTCTCACCGGAATGGATGCGCAGGTGCTGGTTGAGGATAGCGCGCTGTCGAAATGTACGCTCGCAATACACGCATGCGTACGGCTTCTCGTTCGCGTGGATGCGCAGGTGCTGCGTCAGATGACTCTGTTGTCGGAATCGTTTGCCGCATTCCGGGCAGCCGTAGGGACGGCTATCGGTATGGATGCGTTCGTGCTGGAGCAGAGTCGATTTTTGCTTGAAGTCCTTCCCGCACGTTAAACATTTGAACAGCCTTAGTTCCCCCGTCAGACCATTAGGGTTCTTCTTCAGGCCCGCCTGTTGCTGCTGGATGACATCGGGCAGGCTCGCTCCCCTCAGGTCCTGCATGTTCCCAGTATATTGGTCTAATTGGCCTCCTGCAACCGAAATTTTAATATCAATATTGCCTTAATCATTATTAGTAAGTACATACACCAAGTTTTACAGGTACCGATTATGGATTATTGGGTTTACATTTACACAAAACTGATTAAAACTATGTCTTTGTTTTATTCATTTATTTATTTTATATTATTTCTAACAAAATTAAATATATTTCGCATTATTGAAGAATTTGTGTGTACACTTTAATATGGCTTTAAACACATTTTAACTTCAACCTAATTTAGTAATTTTCAATGAAATAGGTGGCGATGTGGCAACAGACATAACACTGTATTATTTTTAAGATATTTAAATAATAGAGAATTACTAATGAAACCAGTTGAATGCAATTATACAGATAAATGTAACAATAACAAAAAGGAGTCCAGATTTATATAATTTATGCATATTTATTTAAGTGTTCTGGTCTTGCACAGATTCTTTGCTAAAATCTAGTATATAACCACCCCTCTTCATTGTTAACTACAGTGGGCCCTCAGGCTGCACGTCCTTGCGGAGTTCTTCGGTTCAGTGTATGTGAATAATGCCCTCATTGGGTCCTCACAACTTGTGTAAGTTCATAATATCAATTTCAGATATTTATTCAGAGTTGAATAACATTAACACTGATAAAGGATCTGGACCTTCTGCTTCTCACGAACTGTTGCTTCTCTAGACCTCTGCATGTCATCTTTATCAAGTCACTTTAGGAGGGCATATTTTTTGGCATAAGGAAATCTTTTTATTTAGCTAATATACCGCCGTGTTAGTATACTCTATGCCATTCCAAAATTATTAGAAAAATGGATCATAACATTTTTGAATTCGCACTTAGGATCTGACATCATTTACGAGTAGTTCGGTTTCAAGAAAAACTCATCTACTAAACTGAAACTTACTTACCTGACGTGCTGCAAACAAAGGCGGTAGAAGGGAGGCAACATAAACTCATTATATACAGGCGCTTGGCAGGGTACACCGTGGGTAGTTGATTAAGAAACACTGGGTGTTTCCGGTACTTTATTGCGCTGGATAGAGAATTGTGATGCATTTAAAGAACTTTAAATCTTAGTCTCATCGGGTGTCCCCTAGAGCTCTCACCTATTCAATACCTTTATCAATAACATTACATCATATTTTAAGTATAATCGTCTACTTGTTTTGGCTGCCGATCTTATAAGATTCCATAAGTCTAAAGTTTTGCCTATTGCATTAATATTAGTCCATTGGGTTTCGTGGATCAGATCAGGGATTTGGGTGTGCTATTAAAATCCACGTAAACTTTTAGCGGATAGAAAGTGTTCAGTACAAATTCTGCCGATACGTGAATTATAAATTATATAACAATCAGGAATTCCACTATACTAATGTCTGCTCAGCATTATATTTAACACATCTCGAAGGAAACAGAGGTACTTAAAACTAATTGAGAGACTGATTAACTGTGCAGCCCTTCGAGGATTGGTTAATATGTTCCATCCCGAACCACCACCAGGAGCTCTATAGAACTAACTGTGCTTATCGCTCAATTATCTCTAGTACCTTCCGATTGTGCCACGAATCAAGCGACTTAAGATCTTTTGTATTGTTTTCTCATAACCTTTTACAATTATATATTTTGTGGAATAATTCAGTTAATATTTTGTACAGGTCTCGTGATAGTTTGTGTTGTTTTGTACAAATATTATATATAAAATTGATTAATTTCTAACGCTTGGGAATCATTAAAAATTGCGAAAATGTTAGCGGGCTACATCTCTGTGGAGCTGACACAAATATCAACAAAATCGGGCAACAAGTATCTAACATATAAAAAAGTTGTTTTATAATGGTATATTACTTTATTCCTATCAACTCGTGGTTTTTATAAAAAGAAGCTTGAGCGACATTTTAGATAAGGCTCATAAAAATTATAGACCACAAACCACACCACAATATATATGATATATATAAATATATAAATATAATAAAACCATACTCAAAATTGCAAAACTTTTTTTATATTAAACTATGGTCATTACTGAAAATATCGCTACCTACAATTAAAATGGAATACACAACAAAATATATTAATTATATAAATAATATATATATAAATATTAATTATTAGGAATGCATACAGCATGTTGTAATTCATGGTTCTCGTGGTTTTATTAATTAAAACATTAATGTTAGGCAATTGATTGGTCCCACGTATGAAGTAGATGTTTAGCGAATTCAGAAATATGTTTTAGACACCTTTATTATAAAAATTCAATATTTATTACTTTGATATTCGTAAGAAATTAGTTTAATTTTTATATATTATAAAACAGCAGATTGCGGGGGTATTGTATAGCTTCAGATTGTCAATTATTGTTTTTAAGTTGTATTCAGGTATCACCCATATATTTGTAAGTATTTGGTAGCTACTTATTAATACAAAATTATTTTAATGTTCAAATATATATTTTATTAAATTTTGAACCATATTCGGTAAATAGGGTGATCTATTTTAATTAAAAAATGACAAAAAAAACGCAACACTAACTAGGCAACACTTATCTAAACTAAATAAAAAACTATGTTCTACTTTTTTCTGTTTTCTATGCTATGCTTTATGCCTTGCCCGCACTAGACGGCAAACATGTCGCTTTTTTTTTCATACAGTTTTTTTCATTTATTAATTTCTAAATAACTAAAATGACTATTAAAAAATATTACCATAAGAAACACTATTTTTATAAATTCGAAAATACCAATAATAGTAGGGATAGTATTTTCCTGCAAAATTTGTAGTTCAAAGCAAACGTCTTAAAACTAAACTAATTACAGTTTAAGTTCAACATTTTTAAAGGTGAAACTCCTTAAGTTAAATTTTTCATACTGCTTTGGTACATAATAATGGCTATACATTATTGGATATATGGATTAAGCTAAAGCGGACCAATAAATCAAATTATTAAGGGTGAATAATGTGTGTCATCTGTTAACCAACAAAAAGATGTGAAAAAAACAACCATTAAAATGTCGATAAATCATGTGATTGAGTAGCTACATGATTTTGTATCATTTGTTTTCCAAAGAACATATAAATTATCCTAGTTTCCATTCTGAAAACTGTTCATTCCTTATAGCAGGTAGACCAAAAATTTATCACTAAAAAACCCCAGATTGACTTTTGTTAGATTGTTTACGAATAAATAAAGGCTCCAAATAATACAGCAGGGATAAACTGGATATTCTCCCCTATGCATAAAAATTTTGGTCATCTTCCAAAACGTTAAAAATTCACCAAAAAACATTACTTCAAACAATTTCCAGGGAAATTGAAGTTTCAAATTTTCAAAAATTGATTGATTCAAAGTCGGGGACTAGGTGGGCACTAAGTGTAATTCATAGAAATGTAAATGCAGTAGTAATAAACGAACAAGCTTCCATTTTAAATTAATTGGTTCTACAGATAATAAAGAGGTAGATAATAGTTTAAAGAGGACATTATTCCACTTTATTATTAACAACAGATTTCTTGCATTTTTGAGATTAGAAAAGATCTCTTTATTCTTAATTAAGCAAATACGTGATACTCAATTAATCAAATTTTACACAGGACGGCGTAGGTTGGTTGCCCAAAACGTGGGCATTTTAAAAAGGTCTAAAAAAGTGCTTTTTCGATTAAACCATAGCTGCTAGAGATAGATAAAAATGCCGATAGAAATCTAAGAAGCAATCATCAACAAATTTTTGAGACGGTGCGACGAAAATATTAATCAATACCAACTTTTAGTAGTAGTAGTAGTAGTTGTTATCTAATTTGAATTTAAGCTTTGAATTGTTGGACTGTCATAACTTTCTTCGGAAAGGTACGCGAAATTTCAAATCACTCCATTGGTACTTATTTAAAACTTCATCTTATCAATTTACGATTGTCACGCCCCAAGAAAAGAAATTAGAGTTAGCAAACCTAAAACACCCTGGCTGACACATAATTTGAAATTTGAAAGTTAAATAGAACTAAAAACATAGCTGATTTTACCAGATATAAAAACCTCCGTCATTTTCGCCATACATGTCTCCGTACAGAAAAAAAAACTCATATTGATTCATTAACGGCCAGCAAAACGAATCTTAAAAAGCTGTGGCGTAGATTAAGTGCTTTTAATAGAAAAACCAATAAATCGAAAGAAATTCCTATACACTTGTCTGATTCTCAAGAGATTAATATCTACTTTTCAAGTTTCCAACGAACTATTTATACATAATAACTGCAAAAGTGAAATAGTCTTTTGCATCAGACGATCATGACGACTCGAACTCTTTTATTTATACTATGTCGGATCCTGAAGAAGCAGGTTCTATTTTGCTTAATTAACGTCCTAGTTCTTACGACGTAAACAAATTTTTGCCCAAACGCCTAAAAACTTAACCAGCTGCGTGTTATCAGTATCCTTCCAGCAATTTTTAAAATTATATAAACAAATTTATGACATAAGTGAGGTTACGACACACATCTTATTAGATTTTTCAAAAGCGTTTGACACCATTGATCATTAATTAATGTTAGCTAAACTTAAATACTCTGGCTTGACAATTCAGCTCTAAATTTATATAAATCATATTTAGATGGCGGGTCTTAGAGGTATAAATTATAATGGTAAAACGTCGTCGAGGATGAGTATCTTGTGTGGGGTTCCAAAGGGTAGCGTTTTGGGGCCGTTATTGTTTTTAGTTTATACAACTAGAATTTTAAAATCTGCAGTGCTCCGGCATACACTGATGATGATTATTTTGTCGTCAATAACGCAAATAATACTGACACAATGATTAACAACGAATTGGAGAGGTTCAGTAAATTACCATCTTCAATTAAATGCAAGTAAGTCATATGCACTCTTCTTTGCTGCAAATAAATAAATAAGGTAGCTTTTCTTTGAAAATTAATATGGCCTTAAATGTTGTTGATTCTGCTAGAAATCTTGAAATTATGTTAAACATGGAACTTAGGTCTAGTGAACATATTAAGAAACTAATTCCAAAAACCATCTATTAACTCAAGATTTTAATATTCCATTGAACTGAGGTGGCTTTTACTTGATGAAAATTCATTTAACACAATTGAATTAAAACAAAAAATGTTCATATGTTCACAGTTATTTATCAGCTTGTGACAGCTGTTTCGGCAACATCGTGCCTTTATCAAATAAAAAATATGACAATATTCACACATCTATGTATGTATAATCAGATAGTAATAGTTCCTGAATAACGGTTGTAGTGTTACAAATATAGATTTAACAAGAGAGATGCATTTAAATCCATTTGGTCATGAAGTAATAGATTCGAATATCTCATTTTGTTAATCTCCATGTTCTCCATGTTTCATTATGTAAAATATCAAAATTATCGTCAAACTTGTGCATTTCTGAATTTAAATGAATAGCATAGTTAGAATCTGAACTGTTATTGTTATAGGCTTTTTATGTCCGTTAATGCATTAATCTTCTACCTGTTTGTCCGATATAAATTTTGGGACATAATCCACATTTCAACTTCTAGACTCCGGATTTTCGAGTTTTTCGTGATTTAGCTTTATTGATTATTAAAAATTTTCAAATGGTGTCTTCAGTCTTCTTGCTAGGTTCTCCTATGTACTTTATTCTTTTATAGATTTTCAGAGTTATTTGAAAGTGTTTTTTAGTTATAATCTTATCTAACAATTTTTTTTCTTTTTTTTTTTGTGAGAAGTGGTATATTAAGCAGTCTAAGAATAAAAGGAAGTCATTTTGTGTGTGTGAGCATGATTTGAGTTATTATGTATTAAAATGGCCGTGGGTGAGGGTTTATGGTAAGTGGAAAAATATAATTTATTATTTAATTTACTTATAGTTAAGTACAGAAAGTTTAAAGAGTCATCTAGTTCCGTCTCTATGGTAAATTTTATACGGTTATGTATGGAGTTAATATGATTCAAAAAGGGCTGAAGTTGTCTTTCCGTTTCAGTGAAACAAGCAACAAAAAATTATCTGCGTATCTATAAAACCAAAGAAATCTTTTACTCAGAGGTTGTTTTGTATGATTTTTTCTATATTGTAAATGATATTTTCTGCAAGATTGCTTTTAAAATTGGAGATTGGAGAAACAGGTATAACATTTAAGAATTAACGAATATAAAAGATAGTATAAAAATAAAAGTTCGGATTCTAACTATGCCATTTATTTAAATTCAGAAATGCACAACTTTGACGATAATTTTCATATTTTACATAACGAATCAAAAAGCAAAGCACTAAATCTGTTGGAAGCTATGGAGATTAACAAAATGAGCTATTGGAATCTATTACTTGATGTCTAATTGGATTTAACTGCGTCTCCGTTGTTAAATCTCTATTTATAACTTCACAACCGTAATTCAGATTCTATTACTATCTGATTATATATATAGATGTCGGATTATCGTCACATTTTGTATTCGATAAAGGCAGGGTGTTGCCGAAAGAGCTGTGTTCTAATTCAATTTTCCTTTATATTCAAGCAATTTCTCAATACAACTCTAAAAATATGCGAAAGCGTAGTGTCATCACATTTTAACTATTGTTATCTTATTTAAGGCCCGTGTCTGGATCTTGAGTGTAGGATTCGCCTTAGCCTTCAGAAATTCAGAATAGCGTTTGTAGGCTTGTTTGCAATCTTCGTAAATATGATTGTGTTAGAAAAGATAAAAGAATTGGACTGGTTAGAAATGGAAAGACGTAAGACTCCCCATTTGGCAAATTTTACTCATCGGCTTATTACAGGTAGTCACCCTTCCGCCCTCAAAGCAAAGTTTCAGTTACATGTAAGATGTAATAGTGCGTTTTCAATTTTTAAATATCATATGTCCCTCATTAGGAGAAGCTATGTCTATAATGTAATTATGTTGTTCAATTTGCTGTCAGAAAATTAAAAAAAAAACTTTCTTTAAAAAAGTTTGAAATACAATTTAAAAAATACCAACTATCTGGGTAAAAAATTAATTGGGGTATACCTAATGCCGAGTAATAATTTTTATGTGTGTACTTTTATATCACCTTCTATTTTTGTCTATTACTTTTGATTCCGTCTACCTCTCTTTCTCTCGCTTCGAGTGGTTAAGAAGAATAGCATTTAAACTAGACTTGGCCCCACGAAATGTAATTTTGGAAAAATGCAATTAACAAAGGATGTTAGAGACTCTGATGTTACAAGAAAGTTTTAATTTGGTTTTAAGGCCGGGTGCGGGGTGTTGAGATTTAGAAAGTTTCGAAGGTCATAACACGAAGTGCGCAAAATTCAAAGAATATAGTGTGGGAGAGCAGGGAGGGGGTGCATCAAGATTACTATATTTTATTTAAAAAGTGGGTGCAAAATTTCGTTTGGGTTGCGCAAAATATTCGCGTCATTTTGGATATTTTTCATGATGACATCGAATAAATAAACGTAAAAAAAAGTAATAACAAAACGTCGAAAACAACTAAAAACTCAAATACACTGACTGTAAAGAATTTGCCTCGGGAATGTTTTATGAAAACTTTCCACAGATTTTACGATAATCGATTGACTTTAACATCGAATATCTCCAAACAAATAAAATGACACTCAGAAACTTTTGGTTGAAATCCTTTCATTCGGTTATTCTCACCTCCATCCGGTCCCAAACTGGTCAGCATAACCCCGGGCTGTTTTAAGTATTGAAGGGCGGAAAAGCTGCTCGCGCCCAGCATATGCGGCGGCACGGGAGGAGGGGCGGCTGGCGGAGGTGCTCTAGCGTACTGCTGGTATGCTTGCTGTTGATTTTGCTGTTGCTGCAAATCGGTGGGGAAACATTGAGACGCAGGCCTAGGTTCGAGGTCCATCGTCGGCTGCTCGGGCTGAATGTCATCGTCGCGTGGTTCTGCCTGCGTGGCCGGATACGGGGACGGTGCGGGTGATGGGAGGCTCTAGACGAAAATATTACAAGATAAATCATCTTCACCGTTATTTATCTTCAATTAAGAGCATTTATTAGTTAATTTAATTCTTATTCGTAATTTTTCCTTATTATCTTGACGAATTGGATGCTTGTTCTGAGGTTCAAAAGCTATGAAAGGATACCAAAAATGAAACATAGGTTTTAGATTAATAAGCCAAATTTTTGAGGAATGAGTCAACTTTATTCCGAAATACAAGTCAGAATTTCTGAAAAATGCGTCAGAATTTCTGGAACACAAGCGAGAACAAGTGAAACATAAGTCTCCCGAGAGAAATTGCCAATAGAAGCATCAGATTAACAGTGCGATTCGCAAAGAATGGACATTCTCTAAATTGGAGACACTACAGTCCAGGTCACACTGAGAATACAGTGTGGATGGCACAGGCAATGTAATTCAAATGTGAGAACGCGGTACAGCGTAACAGAGAATCGTATAGCAGTCTCAGAGTAACAATAAATAAATAAATAAACATAAACATTTTCAATTAAAGGGTATAATTTATTTAAGTAGATAGATGTTCTCAGGACGGTGGAGTGTGTGTATATACGATCTGATATGCAGTGTCACGAAATTCCAGTTGAGAATTTCTAAAATGATTTTGAACGGCAGTGGTTACTACTATGTAAGATTAAGTTAGGCTTAGGAGTTTTTCACCGCCCACCTCGGTTTAATGTTTTAACTATCCTTCGAATGCTGGAAAGCTCAATTGCTAGTAGTATTATGCGAATGAGCTTATTGTTATGGGTGACATAAACATGAACCTTTTAAAAAAAATTCAATGTTACTGATCAGTTTGACAACTTGCTTGATACTGTTGATTTTGAACAGATCATATTAAATCCCACAAGATATTCAAAAGTTCATTTCGGTCTTTTAAATGGGAGCGTAGAACACCGAGGCATGCATAGTCATTCTGATCATCAACTAATTTACTGCACACTTAATTTAAAAATTTTACAAATACATCCAAAGTTCCGTAAGTATAGGGACCGAAAGCATATTTATAAAGAACGCTTTATTGCTAAAATGTGGACTGGGGTGAGGTGTTTTATGAGACTGGTATTGAGGTAACAGGGACGAGAGTAACGGAAAAAATGTTAGCGCGTTTTGATTTCTGCGCTCCTATTTGCACTAAACGGATGACGAAACCTAAATCTTGGTTTACAAGCGATGAAGAAACATCTCGACCAACTTCTTTTTAAATATAAAAATCCAAAAATTTACAAGAAACCTTTAGGAGTTATTTAAGTTGAAAGTGTTCAAATAAAGAATTCCAGTTGGCATTGGTAATTATGACGTAGTCTGAGCTCTATCTCAATTAAAGTCCAAGGCTTTACAAAAAGGATGGAATATCTCTTGAGATGCTTAGAGTGCGCTGTCCAACCATCAAACCCGTGTTATCACACCTTTTTAATTCATGCATTGAAAAAGGACCATTTTTTGCTCTACGGAAAGTTCCAATAGTTTTGCCTTTAGCTGAAGTTAGTGCTCCAAAGAAAGTATCTAGTATTAGACCCAGTAGCTTATTGTCATCGCAAAAGTGTTTGAAAAGTTAATTTACAGACAAATAATGCATTATTTTAATACAAATGCACTTTTGCCAAAATATTAGTCTGGGTTTCGTAAGGGCTTCAGCGCTGCTGTTGACAGATAAGCTTTAGTATTGCTAGACTATAGTCTTTTGACACCCTTACCTTTTCTGTGTGAACCTCTTTTAGATAGAGATCGTACAGACTTACAGATAGTAGAAATTGTTAACAGGAGATCGGCGGCGTAAGTGTTGGAGAGAAGTGTACCTCAAGATTCACTTCTGGCTTTCTTCTGCGACTTTAGTTACTTGTTATCTTCACTTCGGATGTGAGTGATTACATCAGTACGCTGATGACACTTAATTATATGTAAGTTTCCCAAGATCTGAGACTGCTGAAGTTTTAAAGTTAGATAAAAGTTTAGAAAAGTTTGCAATATATTCACATAATAAGGGGCTAATTTTAAATCAAAATAAATCGGCAATTATTTACTTCGTACCTTTTTAAGATTAAGCTATGAAGCTGCTTGGCATTTCAATCAATATTGTTAAAATATCGGTTGTTTCGTAATGCAAAAACTTGGGTGTTATTTTTGATAAGTTAAAGTTCAAGCATCAAAAACTTCACCTAGAGTCCTTTTTACATATTGTTCATAATCGTTGTATACGTTTTAACAATCCTTATGGGATACCAAAAATGCACGAAGACATGTCTCAGAATTTATTTTCTAAGTTGCTAAACAAATAATCCGAGAATTTTAAAAAGAAACTATTAATGCATTTTATTTGAAATCTAACTAAATCTACATAATCCTATTCTAAGTAAGTTCAGAAATACACAGTTTTTATTTGACATTTAGTTGTAACCAAATTTATTTTAAAAAAATAGCTTTTTACAGTATTCAAAAACGTTTAGATCTTCATAAATGTGGCATAAGAACTAATAAGTGTCCAGCATTAGCCATAAGAGAATATCCTGCAAGACGGGTGTCCACGGAAGCCAAGCCAAGAATCGAAAATGCCGTTCAAAAGTTGTCTTAACAGAAGAGAAGCAATATGAAGTTCTTCCGCATTTTGAAGAAAACAACGAAAATTTGTAAACACATGCATCCCGAGATCTAATGGATATTAGTGTTCAAAGGACTTTATAATTTAGTAACTGCCATCCATTTGAATTTTTGCTAGTTCGGAAATTATCCCAAAAGGAGTTTCAAATAAGATTTTTTATTGCTCCCTTATGATGGGCCACTATTTTGAAAGTGGCATTTAAAAAAAAAACGATATGAGCTGCTAGGATCAATAGAAAAAAGACTCATTACTGATGTAACGCAAAATGAAAAAGAAGAAATTAAGAAACAGGGTCGGATAAGTGTTTATGTGTAGTGTGCCATTAAATAATAAGCCCGTTATTTCCTGACTTTGTTCTGAATGGTCAGAGACATTTGAATTTGTTGGAGAACTATATATTTCCATTAATTAATAATCTGCCAGACGATATTATAGAACGAATTATTTTTCAACAAGATAGTGAGAAATATCATACCGTAGTGCCTGTTAGAAATTGTTTAAATCCACGTTTTCCTTTTGAATTGGCCGGGACCATAGATTGGCCAGCGGGGAGACTTGACACCCCTGAACTTTTTTTTATGGGCCTGCATAAAAAACGAAGTGTATAATAATAGGTGTAATTAAGTTCGTAATTAGTAATAAGTTCTACTTACTTGCATTGCTCGTTGATTTTATGTTTTATGTTTAAATAATATGTCTAAAGAAAAACTTAGAATAGGATATTATATGGGTGTAGTTAGATTTGAAACAAAATTCACGAGTTGTTGCAGAAAATTGGCCATAACTTCTAAACTACCAATTTTTGTATTAAAAGTACAAAAGGCAGGGTTTTCATTTATTTATTTTTTTTTAATTAGAAAAAATGTGTGTGACCAACCTGAATAATATATTTTCGCCATAGATAGGTCAAAGCATTAAACCACTTCCATGGATCCATAATAAAAATTCCCAATTTTAGTCTTCAAGTGTGAAAAACACAATTTTGCAAAAAATGGAAAAGAATTTTTTTGCTCAAAAACTACTCAAAATTCCGTGTAATGCCAAAAAATACTAAAAAACAAGCGAATAATTAGAATTTTTTAAAATATTTATAGAGTTCCATTTAAAAAAATAAAGTTGGTTACTGTCCTGGAACAACGGAATACTAAATATATACTTAAGGTCTTGGTTCAAACGCTTTGAACTGAGTTGGTTTTTACTTCATGAAAATCCATTTATCAAAATATATAATATCGTGAAAATCTGAACTTTTAGTTCTTATTTATTTTGTCAAACGCTTTGTGTATTTAACTTTTTTTCCTCAGTGTCTCTACTTACCCATCTTAAATGGACTATCCTGTACATAAGCATTAGGTAAAGTTAAAATATTTAGACAAAATTAGACACGAGCTGTGAAATTTGTCTGAGACCGCACTTGATAGTTGTATTGCTGTATTCTCGGTGTGACTTGGACTACAGACACGAAAATATTATGAAATTCCAAAATTTGATTTGAAGTTTAGTACTATTATCAAAATTGTTAATGTTAAATATTGTTTTTTTATTGTTCGTTGCCCATTATTTACAAATAACTCTGTATATCTAATGTTCCGAATAGCGCTGCCCCTTATGACACACTTACGTCAGAAATTCTGACTCATGTCAGAAACTCGTATTTATTTTTCCAGAATTTTTTTCAGAATTTTGACTTGTTTTTCAGAATTCAGAGTCCAAGAGCGCCCTCAGATTTTGTCTATCGGATCTAATTTTTGTAATTTTATAATTTTAGCTTGTGCATATTTTACGTTGTAAGTGTTATATTACCCTTGCCAGATTCTTTAGATTGGAGCTCACAAGAGCAGTTTTGCTCCAGCAGTGTGGCTATCCCATCCATCCTATATAACGATCTTCCATAGTTTTCGTCTACCACAATTATTGTTAACGCAATGCTAATTTTGCTAAGAAAATGGCGAAATGTGATATTTTTTACATTTACATTTACAAGTATAAAAGTAAGTAATAATGCAGTTAAGAGCATGATAGTATAGGAAGATTGAGTCATTAACAATTCTAGCTATATATTTGGCTATATTATTTTGAGCAGGAAATTTCTAATTTGTATTTTCAATTAAGTGTGCATCTATGTTTTTATTTTTGTCTCAGAACTAATATCAATTAATCTGTGTCCCAAAAACTAGAGCTAGAAAAAATCAGGTGGCATTTTTGGAATGATTTAAAAACATCTAAATTTCCGGCATTTACTTACCATGTGATATGTAACAATATTAAAGATTCGAGGCTACTAGAGAGAAAATTATTTGATAATATAACTGTAATAATAGTAATTTTTCTTCAAAATATCCTAATATGCTAATATATAAACTTTGCTTAGTCACAAACTTAGCTGCGTCATTCCTGAATACATGAACCAACAACTCTTCGTTAATTGTCGACAGGAGAAAATGTACTTTACTACTAAACAAAAATACAAGACTATATCCAATGTTACAACCGTACATGGTATTATTCTTCATTATTCTTGTTGAGTCAAGCAAATTGACCGCAGATGGCTTTTATTTAAAGTGACAATTTCAAAATGTTAAATCCAAATAAATATTTTCGTATAAATAGTTTATTTTTATTTCTCTCAAGATTATGTCTTTGAGGGAAGTAATAAAATGTACACGTTGGCCAGTGCCTATACCTTATCTCTAAATCTATGAGTGTGACATTTTTTTGGCGTAACATCACACAATATGCAAAATTGAAATATCTTTATCAAATACGCGATGTTTCCCGAAATGTTACTTCTCTCTCAGTTTTTCTAGATACACCATCCTGTATATTTTTGCATCTTCGGATACCCCTTTAAAAGACGAATACAATGATGTATATGGAACATTGGTCTGCGATGCACAGTTTTAAATTTATTGACGATTTTAATCAATTCCGTTGGCAATATTAATGCAATTAAAGTTAATTCGAAAAGCGTCTCTAACATTTTTTTGTGAAATTTATGAAAGATACCGTAAACATTATACATTAGTTTATTTTTAAGACAGTAACATTTGACGAACCTTTTCAAAAAAAAATATTTATATTTTTTTATAAAATTTTCCAAATGTCCACCATGTGATTTATGGCATTTGATATATAATTGGCATTGCTATTTAATTGGTTAATTGCATCCAGAATTTGTTGTTTTAACGCCAAAACTTCTATTTCTTCTATTCTATTCTTATTTGTGTATAATATATCTTTTAAAGTACACCACAAAAAAATACTGCGGGTTTAAATTCGGGCTCCTTGCTGATCAGATGGAGTCATATTGCCCAATCCATTGTCTAAAATATCAGCACTTCGATGATAAGCACCATCTTGTTGCCATCTTGTTCTCTTTCAGAAATAACATTCCGAATAAGAGGCTCAATATTATTTCTTAATAAATGTAAAAATCGCACTGCTATCAAATATTCTTCATAAAATATGGGCAGTAAAATTCTATCCATTTGTCTCAAATTCACAAAGTTTATTTTCAGAGCTCCAGTAATGCACATTTTTTCGATTATGTAATATTACTGACGTTATAAATATTGATTTACGATTTAATTGAAATTAATTAAATTAAATTAAAATTATGTTGAATTTAATTTTATATATAATATTTAATTAAAAAAAAAATAGGGACGCTTTCAGAATTAAGCCAGAAAGCTAAGAAATTTAATTAATTGCGTTAATATTGCCTGGGAGTTGATTAAAAGAGTCAATAAATTCGAAACGGTGTATCGCAGGTCAATGTTCACATATATCGTTGAATTCGTCTTTTAAAGAGCTCTCCGAAAATCCAAAAACATATAAAGTATATAAAGTTAATATGCAACGTGGCCAAAACTTTTCCAACATAAGCTGAATATATGTAATAATTGTCTTTTAAAGGGGTATTTAAAAATGTACTAAAATATAACGAGTGTCAATTGAAATAATACATTATCATACAGATCATTTTATTAAAAACAACTTTTACATTCAAACTTTTTTTTATAACGCTCATAGATCTCGAGATAAGGGATAAACCCCTCTACATTTAAAAAGAGCATGTTATTAATTAATAATGAATATTTTATCTTATATCAAGAATAATGTGTCCTGAAAGAATCCTAGAATTGGGGCATATTATATCCTTAGAGTTTGAGATTTGCCAGATTTTATCAAGATATTTTGTGTACAAAAAACCATAAATACAAAAATGATTTTTGAGAGTTAAACGTTACCTGATCTCTCGGAGGGGCGGCGGTGTCTGCCTCAACACCCAACGGGACAGTGGGGCCACACGCCTGTTGAGGGCTGCTCGCTCCCGCAGGTGCCGGTTGCTGCTGCGGGGGCGGGTAGATGTCTTGCGGGCCCCACTGTCCCTGTGCCCTGTCCATGCCATCCTTGTAGAGTACGTAAGGGGCCGCGGTGTCTGAAACAAAAATCAAGTTTGTGTAAACTCTCATAGTATGGAAAAGGTGATTTCTAAATGGATAACAACTGAAGCATTTGAAGCAAAATCTTTTTTTCGGCAACCCCGAAACCTATTCGCCTATTCACCCAAGAGGGCAAATATGGATATTTATCAATGGAAAATCGGCTAGATTTTCAGAGATGCGAGTCACGCTTCTTGATCTACAAATTCTTGTAGCACTGCTTCCGCTACGTCGTTACGTCTTGGCCTTCCTATACGAATCGGATCTCTAGGTAAGTCTTCCTTGCAAATATTTATTTCAAATTTGCACGGTAATCTGGATAATATATTTTGCTACATTGCTAACTATTAACAAAATAAATAAGAAGTAAAAGTTCAGATTTTCACGAAATTATATATTATGACACGACAATTGTTTCGACAACACCGTGTCTCTATCAATGATGATAAAGACACGGTGTTGTCGAAACAATTGTCATGTCATAATATATAATTTCGTGAAAATCTGAACTTTTAGTTCTTATTTATTTTGATGAACGGATTTTCATCAAGTAAAAGCCACCTCAGTTCAATTGCTAACTTTTAACTTTTTTAATGAATTAAATTTCAAAACCACAAAATAATTTTCTTAAAGTTTTTTTGTTCGGTGATATGATCATCAACAAACAAACGTTAGTTGAAAGGAGACATACCACATAACTTTTTTTCAATAATTAGATTAGGTAAGTTATTCTTCTGCTACGTTTATTTTCTGCGATGCTATTAGAAAACCATTATTTTTTCAATAAGTTGGCAACATCACATTAAAATTAAAAAAAAGATGTCATATAAACCTTTCTTGGAGGAGTAATAATATGTAAAAGTATACAAGTATAAAAAAATATATTTTCTATTGTCACCAGTCATCAAGCATTAAGATTATAAAAATAAATATTTTGCGATTTTATGCAACACTAGCTAAAGCAATTTCTACGGGCTGATTGAGTCATCAATGCTTGGTAATAGAAGCAGGACCAGGCAAATAATAAACAGGTCAGCAACATCATTAAAGAAGATCGAGAAAAGTAATGGACCTTCTGGTAACGCGCGGAGGGGACATACAACACCTCCGATGAAACGTGACTTACGATTTTAGTAGTGAATAAAAAAACATCATCTCTTTTTTGGTTTTAATTACTGTATACATTAGCGCTCGTTTTTTTTAGAATTTTTTTGGGTCACCTGATATGTATATTATAACATAGTATTATGCATTTCAATAATTAAATAATTAATTTTTTAAAAATTGGATGACTGGAGCCGTAACATATCTCAACGCGTCCCGGTAAAACCTTTTCTAATCTGAATACGTTAAACAACGTGCTTGATACAGTCCTGCATATTAAACTCAGTGAACTTTTGTGTGGCCGAATAAATCCTGCACGGCCAGCTTTTGCCAAGTGTTCTTGTTCAAGGCCAGCAGTCTGCATTCATTTGGGATCTTGCTTTTACTGGTTTTTTTTCATCGCGTTCGAATTTAGCGAGATGCGGCGATCAAAATTTAAGGTAGGTCAAAGTCGAATAGAACGACGCCCTTCTGTTTAAATTTTGATACTTTAGCGTATTGAAATTTCAAGCAAACAGTTATAGGTTTTCGGTCTTAATTTTGTTAATTAGAATTTATTACAGACCTCTAGGTAGTCAATTTCATACAGAGGCCTTACGACTTAAATAATTTTTAATAAAATAATGAGCAATATTCTTGTCCAATTTTTCATTTTTTCCGCTTCCTCTTATGTACTTTTAAGTTATTTTTTGGTATATTCAATAATTTTTTCCTTTTATACAATGATGATTTTTTTCTATCTTTGCTGCAATTGCGTATTCATTTTGTTTGTTCTAGAATTTTGGGTTTATGTATTTTTGGTAGCCTGTGTTAATTAAATATTTAGTGCGAAATCTTTGATAGTTATGCAATAATCGTGTTGTCACATATTAATAAAAACCTAGAGCGAGTTTCACATAAAGTGATAGTGCCAAAATCGTGCTTGAATGTTGATTTAACTGAGAAATGAAATTCTTCCGCTTTCTGGAGTACTTGGTGCACTTTTTTCTATTAGTTCCTGCATCGAATTATCTTATACCATCCGATACAAATCCTTACAAATATCTAGCAGTCACAATTACGCAAGATGGTACATTGAAAAGAGCAATTGGAGACAGAAATAAACAAAACAGAAAAGCAGCAAGATACAACAATACAATAGAACAAAGTAAAAACATATAACACAAGAGTTAAGAGCGTCATAACTTATGGATCAGAAGTAGTAAGAAAATAACGAGATAATCCTAAGAGCAATGGAAATGGACATCTGGAGGGGATCAGCTGGAATCTCGAGAAAGAATAACCAATGCAAGAGTTGGGTACCATACACACCCACAATTATAGACTACTTTCGAAACAAACAGCTTGTGTATAGAGGATGTCTCTAGAAAGACTTTTTAACATTTTCTTCACTTTCTTTGCATTTTTACTAGTAAAAACTATGTAATACTCTTTACAGGAAATGGTTTGCAAACTTTAAGCTATATACAAACACAGACCTTTGTACAACAGCAATATTGGTTAATTATTGAATACGTTTTTTTATGATCACATTCCACGAAAAACCTAATCACTGTCAAATGCTTTGCGGTGCAATTTTTGTTAAGTTCACAAATTCTGAGATTACTGGTAAACCACTAGTGATCCTAAAAGTTTCTTCAGTATCGAAAATATTATTAATTTCAAGAAATTCAAGAGCCCTTACATTAAATTGAAGCCCTCAAATCACTTTTTATAAAACCCTTCCAAAAATGACAAAATGTTAGGGCGGTCTATGTGAATTATAATGCAAAATGCTTGTCAAATTTTTCTGCATAAAGATGTTAATGACATAATTGGTATCAGGTATCAAAATTAAACTCCAAAATCCGAGATTCGGGAGCAAGGTGTACTGAGCACAATGCGTTTCCGATCTGAATCTAAAGGGTTTTTTTAATGAGTGTGTAGAAAGCACAATGAGGTGTCACGGAGTGCTGACATGTTTAAAGACACATTTACGCATTCAATTAGAGATAATTAATGCCGTTGATTTATTTAGATAAGTTTAGATATTAGAATATGCTATTTAGTTAGATTTGAATTTAATACTTCCTACAACTCAAAATTTATTGGCACTTCTATAGTTTGTCTCAATCTTCACCGTACTGGCTTTTGTCCGCAATTATTTAAGTTACCTGCCGGCGGCAATAAAACTCGGTTCCGGTAGGTATTAAGGGACAGAACATTAGGGACGGACGCTCAAAGGTTTTGGTAATAATAAAAACAATTTTGTTTATTTAGGTGTGTATAATCTTCTTAAATTTAACTAAGAAAAAAACCATGACATTAAATATATAATCTAAATCTAATTCTGTTTCACTATCATTGTTTCATTATCATCGTCATTGAGTCCTGAATTCTGATAATGTGTTGTACTAAATTTTTCCAGCCCTCAATTGGTAAGTTATTAATTACATTTTTTATCAAATTTGTAATACTGAGAGTTAAAGTAAGAAAATCTTTGATTTTACTTGGGCAATTTGGCTCTATGGGATTAAATATTCAATGATATGGAGGAAGACGAAAAAAACAGTATGCCCAGCGTGTTCAGCCAAATTATCGCATACATGCTGTTTTTTAATTCCAAAAGTTGCGCTTTATTGTAAGTGAATTCAAAATAAACATCATTCAACAAATATTCCTGGATTTCAGTTTAAACTAGTGCTTTGCGTAGCAGACGGCTATGGTAGCTTAAAATAAATAAGAACTAAAAGTTCAGATTTTCACGAAATTATATATTTTGATATGACAATTGTTTCGACAACACCGTGTCTTTATCAAATGCGTGATAAAGACACGGTGTTGTCGAAACCATTGTCATGTCAAAATATATAATTTCGTGAAAATCTGAACTTTTAGTTCTTATTTATTTTGATAAATGGATTTTCATCAAGTAAAAACCACCTCAGTTCAATTTATGGTAGCTTACGTTATCCACGACAATAACACTGTTATTGAGATTATTTTTTAAAATATTGTTTTGAAAGCAATTTTCAAAAAGTTCGTCACTTGCATCCTCATGTTAATCAAAGCTGGAACCTTTAATATTCTTTGCAGACAACCGCAAGCAGCTGGCGACAAATCCGTCTTCTGACCCAGCGTGTATTCCATTATTTGAGGGTGGTTTCGTCTGGCAGTTTAGAGGGGAAACAATCCATTCTTTGGATACAGTGTCGTGTGTATCGAACCATGTTTCATCACGGTAAATTATGTATCAGTTGTCTATCTCTATCTTTTAATTTTTTGAAGGTTATTAAATTTCCAAGCGAGTAATGTGTGTGATTCAATTACTATTTGCCTTCTGTCTATTTTGCAGAACTTAAATCCCGTATTGCAAACAGTTCTATAGAGGGTGGCACGGCTTATATTGATATTGGGTTCATCTTCTTCTAGCTTCTTTTCAGTTTATCCAAGGTAGAAACAACCTCGCTTTGATAAAAACAATACATTTTCCTTCTTATTAGGCCCTGGTCACAAAATCACTACGTCTATTAATAATATCCCTTATCGATGATATTGGCGTTTTGTAAGTAGACAGGTTTCTTTTAAAGTAGTTTCTTGTTGAATAAGTCCTCTACTGATTAAAGTTAATACACATTTTTCACAACCTGCTTTGCATCAAGCTGCAAATGATTTCGGCGTGATATTGTTATATTCTAGTAAAATAACTTTTTCAAAATACACAGTTAAAAACGATTATTCAACACGGTCACAAATGGTCAACACTCAAGAAATATATCAGAAAGAAAAAATATACCAGGTCCACCCCTGTCTGATCACTCAAGTAAGAATAAATATTTTGTTAATGGCTTTAAGAATGAGACAGACTAAACTTATAATACTTTATAGTGTTCATTATGTTTTGTCCCACAGT